AGTATATAAGTCTCAAAACATCAAATTTAACTTTAAAAAGTATTAAGCAGACAAAATATAAAAATTATCTGTCCAACAGATAGAAACATGCAAAAACACGTAAACCAGATTAACATCAGCAACTTCATCTGTGGTCTTTGAAAAATGTATAATCTATTATCATCATCATCATCTCCTCTATACCGCCTATAGCCAAAGCTCTCTGGGTGGTTTACATCAAACAATAAAATACATAGATTAAAAACATTAAATATTAAAAATACTTTAAAATAACATAAAACGTTAAAGAACAATAGACCTGACTCAGAAAAATCTAATCCAAAGTAATAGAAAAACACCTGGCAAATTGCTTCTGGCCCCTGTGTCGTGACACCCTGCATGACCTGGGAGATCTTTAAAGGCCCTCTGCAAAGAGGGCTGTCTTGGCCTGGCGCAGAAAAGATGACAAATTTTGTGCCAGGCAGGCCACAGCAGCGAGGTCGTTCCAAAGATGAGGGGCCACCACCAAAAAGACCCTTCCTCCAGTTGCCACCCTCCAAACCTCTTGAGGGATTGGCACCCAGAGGAAGGCCCCAGAGGCTCAGTATAGTGTCCGGGTAGATTGTGGTTGGGAGCAATACTCCCTCTAAGCTGTGGAGTCCTGTGAGCAAAAATTCTACTTTGTGAGCTACTGGCAATAAGTTGTGAGCAGGTGATTCAGCTACTGCATAAATTATTTTGTTCTGGAGCCATCCTTCCTGAGCTAAGACAAAAATGTGTGAGTTGGAGGCTAAAAAACTGTGAGCTAGCTCACACTAACTCAGCTTAGAGGGAACATTGGTTGGGAGTGGCACTCCGACAGGTATTTTGGTCCTAAACTGTGTAGGACTTTATAGGTTATGACCAGCACCTTGTATTGGGACAGGAAACATACAGGCAGTCAATGCAAGCAGGCTAGAACTAGTCTTATATGTTCAGACCTCTGGGTCTCAGTTATTAATCTATCCACTGCATTCTGCACCAGCTGCAGTTTCTGGACTGTCTTCAAGGGCAGTCCCACATAGAGTGCATTGCAGTAATTAATCTAGAGATTACTAGAGCATAGATTACTGAAGCCAGGCTATCCCTGTCCAGATAGGGGCGCAACTGGGCCAACAGTGGAAGCTGGTAGAAAGCATTCTGAGCCACTCCAAACTGTGCACCTGCTCCTTCAGGGGGAGTACAACCCCATCCAGAACAGGTTGGACACCCTCTAGCTGGCCATAGGAATCACCCACTAACAGCATCTCAGTCTTATCTGGACTGAGTTTCAGTTTGTTAGCCCTCATCCGGTCCATTATCATAGCCAGACACTGGTTTAGTACATCCACAACTTCACCTGTCAACAATGAAAAGGAGAAATAGAAATTTATGTCATCAGTATACTGATGGCAACACACTCCAAAACTCTAGATGATCCCACTCATATAGATGTTAAATAGCATGGGGGACAGAACAGACCCCTGAGACTCCGTATTCTCCAGCACCACCGTCTGGAGACGGCCCTCCAAGTAGGAGTGGAACCACTACAATGCAATGCCCCCCATTCCCATCTCAGCCAGCCCGTCCAGGAGGATACCATGGTCAATGGAGGAGGATCAATGAGGATCGAGACATTCCTCTCTTGGGAAGGGGGTTCCATGGCCCTGGCTTTGCTATAGAAAAGGCTTAGCTTTTTCCATATGGGGTTTTCCATATGGCATTGATCTCTCTGTGACTCTGCCCCCCATGTTGAAGGGATGTTGAGCAAATGGGTATAGTTTGTTGTGAGGAGAACATAATCTGCATCCCCAATGTAGAACTCCGTTGCCTAACCTTCATGCCCTTGAAAAAGCTGTTTCAGTTGCACCTACAGGTCTCCAAGACCTATCTTAGCTGCCAATAAGATGAAGGGGAAGAGATTACTGTTACAATGCTGTTCATATGTCAGAGTTTTGGGAGGCTGAAGAAAGGATACTGAAGGAATTTGTGGGTCACTGATAAATCTGGAAGAAGGGAGTGGCTCAGAAGACTTCCAACAAAAAAATTATTCATTTGGGGCAGTGGCTAGAAAGTTCCTCAGGTAGCAGCTGGTCTGTTGCTGGTGAAGCCAGAGGCATCAATCTCACTCCAAAGCAGGGAGCAGCAACCTCCTGCTCATGGGATTCAACTAGGGCATGAAGTCTTAACTTCTCTTTGCAAAATTTCGAGTCTTACCCCACCTCCACTCCCAGAACAGTCAAGAGTTTGTGGAAGAGACAGAACTGAAAACTAGGACTCCTTGTCACAAACTGAAGTGAAAGTATTTCTCAGGTGTTCTCCACTGTTGCTACTAGATGGGAGAAAGGAGTAGCATAAACAAAATGCAGCAGATTTTTTTCACAGAGAGAAAGGCTAGAACCACAGCATCTCAGTCTACTTCACAGGGAGGTTCAGCTGTGTCAGAGGAGAAGGGCTTCTCCCACAAGATATCAAAAGCTCCCTTGGAGCTGGCTGGGACTTTGCAATTGCTGGTGATGACTGCAACACCTTTGGCTCAGCCAGGAGGTAGCTTCTCAGGATAAATTTTCTGAATGTGTCCCCCTTACCTACTGTCACAGGGTTGGGGGGGGGAGGAGATTATCCTGGGTGATGCTGTGAACCATGCAGCAGGATGGCTGTTGGCTGCCGTTTGTATATACCTATCTTATACAAAGATGCTTGAAAGTGTAGCATCAGTTGTAAGAATCCCCCCTCTTAAAGCAGAAGTGAAATATTTATCGTACTAGGACTGGTGTCAGTTTTTTAAGTAGAAATTAATGTGTTCTGGATTGTGTTTGCATTGTAGGCTTGTAGTCTTCTTAACTATCTTGTTTTCTGTGGAAGTAATATTTGTTTACAGTATTTATGAACAGTTCTCCAGTAAAATTGTGCAGAGCAGTGTACAAAGATTTAGAGCCATAGAATAAAAATTATAATAGCAAACAACAAACAAGCATATACAAGAAGTCTTGAATGAATATATTACCAGATCTTCAAATTCATTAGAACAATGTATATTCTATAAACTACAAATAACATTTGTTACTTTTTTAACATCTTAGGGTCTTTAATTTGGGGGATCACTTCTCCCTAATCTTGGATATTATCTCGCAGGGTAAAGAAGTCTGAATTAATCTTTTTAGTGCCGTAGTAGAGGGTGGAATTTCCATATGAATTAAGAGGGATTTTTTTGTTCTTCCTTCCTGTAGCAGTGGAAGATAGGAAACTGTTCATTGGGATGATCTCAAAGAAGTGCAATGAAAATGATATCCGGGTGATGTTTTCCCCTTTTGGGCAGATTGAAGAATGCAGAATTTTACGGGGTCCAGATGGCTTAAGCCGAGGTAAGTATCAACCGCTTTTTTTAGGAATTTCTCTCTTTTTAACTAGCATCTAATTGGGAATGTTGCAAGTCTCTGTTATCAGTAGAATGTCCCTCTCACCCGTTCAGTTTCCATTACCTGGATAGACCTGATGCGTACATGTGACCATGTTATTTTTCCAGGTTGTGCTTTTGTGACTTTTACAACAAGAGCTATGGCACAAACAGCAATCAAAGCAATGCACCAAGCACAGACCATGGAGGTAAGAAATGTTATTTTGATTGACTAGGTGGAATGTTGGACATTCACACTCCTTTGGGATTCTGTGTGCAGGCCAGTGTTGGACATCTAGAATCCCTCTGTAGTTTTCCAGGTGCTGTGCTGTCATCCCTTGGTTTGAACCACCATCTCAAAGTCACTTCATTGTGATGAAGTACAAAACAACAAAAATTGAGAGAATTCTGGAGGCCGGGTGATTGTTTTAGGAGCATCATAGTTCTGTAAAGGACAGGAGGTGGAATTCTGTAATTCGGAAATGGTCCATAAAAATTTAATCTATTTGAATTGATATTGCAGGGGTGCTCTTCTCCCATCGTAGTGAAATTTGCAGACACTCAGAAAGACAAAGAACAGAAACGAATTGCACAGCAGCTTCAGCAACAGATGCAACAAATCAGTGCTGCCTCCGTTTGGGGAAACCTAGCTGGGCTGAACACACTTGGACCCCAGTATTTAGCAGTGAGTTTCTGAGTAGAATCTCTTCCTAAGTATTTTACCCATAGTAGTGGTTTCTAGTACAAGTGTTCTCCTGCTGAGGCTCCATTAGAAAAATCCAGACCTTTAGCATGTTGATGAGTGTGAATGATTCAAGTTTGCCTCTGCTTCCCAGGATTGTTACTGCTTGACAGAATTGACATGCTTGAGTTGATGAAGAACAGACTGGCAGTGTGTGCCAGTAGTGGTCTTAGTTTCTAGCATAAATAAGAAAAGGAAATGGTGTGGTGTGGGGTTGGGTTGGGTTGGGTAGGCAGGTAGCAGTGTGTGCAGCATTTTTCTGTGGCATTAGCATAAATAAGAAAAGGAAATGGTGTGGGGTTGGGTTGGGTTGGGTGGGCAGGTAGCAGTGTGTGCAGCATTTTTTCTGTGGCATGGGGCATTTTATCTGCAGTGAAGAAGTAATGCAACACTGGATGATGTATGGATGATGATGTCTTCTAGGAGTCATATGGACAAACCAGCTTTTTCCCTCAATGGTATTCTTACTACAGTATTTAATACCACTGTGCTTTTCGTGCATGTGTGTGTGTAAAGGTGGCATGATGTAGTAATTAGGCTTTCTGGTTATGACGGCACTTTGGCTGTGGTGTGGTGCAGTGTCTCCCATACGTGGGGCCAGCCCTCATTCTCACTCTTGTTCTGTTTTTGGTGTAATGTCTAGCTTTATTTACAGCTCCTTCAGCAGACAGCAGCCGCCTCCTCTGGGAATCTGAACACACTGGGCAGCCTCCACCCAATGGGAGGTAAGTGCTACCTCACACTACCACTGCACACCAAGAGAGGTCTAAAAGTAGGATCGCTATCAAATGATCATGATAATCAATAAAGAAAGCTATTAAAACTGTGGTGTGCTATATACTAATGTTAGTAATATATAATCTCAGTTAAGTACAAGGTAGGAATCTATAGTTAACTTTTTGCTCTTTCTCTCTCTGCAGTGCCTTGTCATGCTTTTGGGGACTTAATCAATTTGCATCAGAGCTTTTCAGAAGGTGATTAAAATTCATAAAAGTAGGGAAAACAGTTGTAGCCAGGTGACTTTAAATTGTGCCCCTTATCCTTAGGTACATCTGATTTAAATTTATTTTATAAGCTGCCCCTCATTATCCTTGCAGTGTTTCAAGTTTTCATAATGACTTTCTGTTGGCTACTAGAGGGCATCTCAGTATCAAAGAGAAGCCTTGGCTTTGATTTTCCCCACTTCAAATCTGCAAAAGGGTATCTTGTATGTAGAAGCAGCACTGAGATACTTGCCATAACCTGGGGCAGACAGTAAGAGAGGCTTTTTATGGGGTTTGTGTTTTTGCTTATGGTGCCTGCTTTTGTATCAATGATTTTCTTGTTCAAGATAGTCTTCTACTTCACCAGCAAATTAGACACACGTCTAATAGAATATTCAGTTTAAGAGAAGAGTTGAGGCACTTACAAATTAACTCATGATCTGAAAACCATCTGAATTGTAAATGAAGAGTGTCACATTAAATATCATGCAATGTGTGTAGTACAAACTGTACAGTTTGAACTTTATGCTTGTTTGAAACTTAGGCTTCATGTAGCTGCATTTTCCCTTGTTCTTTTCATGCTGGATTCATTCCATGTCATTAATGTTATGTTAGTGAGCATTTCATGTCATTAACATTAACAGAACTGAATTGTTATTCAGTATTTATATAGTGTTTCCCCCCCGGTCTGCAGAGAAAGACAATTAAGGCCAAAAGAGCAGGGGAAAGTTTAGTTGCCTGGATCCTAATATAAAAGTGAGCACAAATGTTGGACTGTACAACATATATATTGCTCACTTAGTCTTGGATCTACCAAGATGTTTTTATGCATGGAGCAATTTCCACCTGCAGTCCCCACCCTGCATCCCCAAATGCCCCTAAAATAGAGCAGCATTTTGGAGGGCATGTTGGGCTGCAGGATGGAGGGGGTTGTTGAGATAGCTGTGTTCTGTGTGTTGAAATCACTCCGTCCATAGAAAGATCCTGGTGGATCCAAACCACTATACACAAGCTAAGATGGCAGCCCGAACATAAAATTTTAAAATTTTATTCTTATTTTATTTGGGTGGATGGGTGGATTTAGAACTCTTAATAAAAGCTTTTGAATTTTAAAATCCTTTAAAAAAAAGTGGAACAGAACTCCTATGAAACATGGAATCTTTTGGGACTCTGTGACACTTATCCTTTGTTAGCCAGAGCCCCAATTTTGAGTGTATGTGCATGATTCTGGGGAGTCAAGACAGGATAGAGATTCTGTTTGTGTGCCACCCACGCCCCAACAGTCTGCCTGAGCTGACAGAGGCAGTCTTGGACTTGGTGTTGAGGGCTCCAAGGTTTGTTGTCCCTGTGGACTTCAGTTCATGCTGAGGTTGCCCTAACAGGAGCAGCTTAGATCTTCATGTGGTCGTGAGACCCCTCTTGAAGAGGGCATCTCTGGTAGAGATGGGCATGAACCGGGAGGTTCGTTCACGAACTGAACTGGTTTGTGGCCCCGCAAACCCCACTGAAAGGGACTGCAATCCTTTTAAACGGGTTTTGCAGAAAGCCAGTGGCTAAAACTCAAGCAGGTTGTAGCTACACAGCTTTATTTGTTTGTTTATGTTACTTGTATTATGCATTTCCCACTGGGACTCAAGTTGAATTACACAGAGTGAGTCAATATTATCAACAGGATGGGACATTCAGTAAACAATGAAATAGGACTTGGGTTGTAGAACCAGCTAGAAATCTAAAAAACAGAACTGAAGTAAAGTATAAGTGTTGATTTGATACATTAAACAGTGCAAAAATTACATAGTAGAATCCAACTTGCAGTGGTCTTTACACAGTGGTCTAGACCACAATCCCTAATAATTTGTCCAAGTAACTTTGTGAATAATTTTACACAGTGCTACCCTATTGCTTGCTGTCTTGGAGGAGATGGATTATCTAGACCCATTTCAATCCAGATTCAGGCCTGGTTTGGGGACAGAAATGGCCTTGGTCGCCCTGACTGATGACCTGTGACAGGGAAGTGTGCCCCAGTTGATTCTCTTGGACCTCTCAGCAACTTTCAGTACCATTAACCATGGTATTCTTCTGCAGAGGCAGGCTGGGCTGGTAGTAGGTGTCACCATGCTTCAGTGGTTCTGTTATTACTTGACCAGCCAATTCCAGAAGGTGTTACTTGGGCCCTGTTGTTCAGTCCTGTGGTATTTATGCTGTGGGGTCCTGCAGGGTTCCATCTTGTCCTCCATGCTATTTAACATCTACATGAAACCTCTGGGAGAGTTCATCCAGGGATTTGGAGTGAGGTACCACTGATACGTGGGTAACACCCAGCTCTGTTTCTCTATAACAGCTAAGCTAGGTGAGTTTTTAGGAAGTCTTGAATAAGTGTCTGGAGAAGGTAATGGGATGAATGAGGACCAATAAACTGAAGCTTAATCCAGACAAGACTGAGGTGGTATTGGTCAATGGAGAAGCGTCTTAACCACTGCAGAGTCAGCTTGGGGGGGGGTGTACTGACCCCTGAAGGAATAAGGTCGCTTTGGGGGGCTACTGGATCCTACCCTATGGTTGAAGATGCAGGTTTCCTCTGAGGCTCAGATTTCTTCTATGGCACATGGCATTTTTTATCAGCTCCAGCTGGTTCACCAACTACAGCCATTCCTTGAAAACAGTGATCTGGCCAGAGTTATCCATGCTCTGATCACATCCAAGTTAGATTACTGTAATATGGTCACTTGGGGCTGCCTTCAAAAACAGTTTGGAAACTTCAGTTGGTCCAAACTGTGGCAGCCACACTATTGACAGGGGTTGGTTACAGGGATTATATTACCCTGTGCTGAAAGATCTGCACTGGCTGCTCTCTGTTTCTGGTACAATTCAAAGTTCTGGTTCTTACCTTTAAGGCTCTAAATCAGGGTGTCCTGCTCTTATCTGGCTTGCAAGCAGCAACTAGTTGTTACCTTTACTGCCAGATGACAGAGGCTATGCATTATGTCCTTGTATATTGTCCCAGTGCTAATGGATAATGGGAGGTGGAAGTGGAGGGGTGGGCATTGGGGAGATACTGTAAGAGTTTTAATGTTTTAAGCATGTTTGTATTTTGAGTAAAAAATAATATTGTTAATCGGGTTTGCCTGTGTCCTTTATAAAGTTTATATCTCTGGTACCTCATGTTACATTTTATGGCACGGATGGCCCGGCCCATCAAAGTGACATTTATGTCAGATCCAGCCCTCATAACAAATGAGTTCGATACTTCTGCTCTAAATGGTGCCAGGATACCTGAAGGATCATTTCCTCCCATGCTGTTCGGCCCACTGGTTAAGATCAGCCTCTCAAGCCCTGCTCTCTGTTGTCCCACCACCACCACCATCTCCAGGGGTGAGGTGGGTATCAGAGACAAGATATTTTCTGTGGTGGCGCCTTGTCTTTTGGAATGCCCTCCCCTGGCACCTACTTTACTTTCTTAGGCATTTCCTTTTTTCTTTTAATTAGGGGCTTATTAGTTTTTAGGGACAGTTTTTCTGCTGCTTGTATTATTTTTTTTCATGGCTTGTGGGTTACAGTGTGGTTTGCATTGTAAGCTGCCTCAAATAGGACTATGAAGAGACAGCATAGAAATAGTCTAAATAAATAAATAAGAACAAGCTTAAAAAATAAACTCTTCCGGTGTTTGGAAAAATGTTTTTACAATGTTTTCTGGCATACAAGAGATTAATTAGGAGGGGCTCATTTTTTCAAAGAACATGTTGAATGAACTGGTTTGTAATTGCGGTGTCACTGTGGTGCACGACAGCAGCAAAATCTAAAAATAATTGTATTACCAGAAAACATGTACATTGTCTACCTCTCTCTTTCTCCTAGGATCCTCTTCCCTAGATAACTGGCACTGTTTCTGTAGCTGTGGCTTCCTCTTCTGCATTTGGCTGGGAAGGCAGCAGCTGCTCACACTTTAGGAAGGACATTCTTTGGAGAAGACTTATTTCACTGACCATGCATGTGCTCCTAAGTCATCCTTAGTTCAATTAGCGTTCTGAATTAGAGACAGTTGTTGGGGTTTATTAATGCCTGTGGAATTTAATTGATCTACTGCCTGTTTCCCAAAAAAGCAGGGTGTGAAGCAGGCAGAAGCTCTGCACACAATGCAAATTTGACCAGGACTCACCATTGTGTCCTGAGGAATTTTCCTGTCTCTTCTTGAACATTTTTTTGAACTGTAACCTCCGGCCTGATGAACAGTTCTAGTGAAATTGAAAGCTCCCACACTGTTGTAGGGCCAGTAGGTTGGTCCTGATGAGGTATTTTTGGATCTTAATTTGGAATTTTTTTGGATTTAAATTTGGGGCTGACACAGTTGCTAGAAACTTCCTTCTGTATTTCAGCTTCGAACTTTGAAGCACCATAACTATTAGTATAAACTGAACTTTCCCCAGACCAGTTGGGCAGGATTTGTAAATTTTTGATAGAATATAAATCTAATTTGTCATTTTCAATTTTAGTTAGTCCTAGGGATGTGGTAGTTAGAAATGTGGGTTAAAACATTTCTGTGATTGATCATTACAGAGACACAAACACCATATTTACATGGATGCTGATAATGTTGCCCTGGCTGGAAATTATTCCAGAGTTATATAGGAGGAGCTTCAGAAAATGTTTGGTCTTGCTGCAGACATTTGGGATGATAAAACTGTAATTATTTTCCACATGAAGTATTTATTGAGTGATGCTACTGAAAATATAAGGTTTTTTAGGTCACTGAGGACCTATGGATAGTGGTGTAGGAGTGGATATACTATACATTGTTCATGTCTTACAGGACTGAATGCAATGCAGTTACAGAACTTAGCTGCATTAGCGGCTGCAGCGAGTGCAGCTCAGAATACACCAAGTGGTACCACTGCACTCAATTCTTCCAACAGCCCTCTAAGTGTACTCACCAGTTCAGGTAAGAGAGCCATTTCTCAGGATAATTGTATTGAGCAAGCCAAGTACCTTCAAAAACTTGTAGGGGGCTTCTCATTTTCCCCTCCCTTACCATTTCCTTTTTCTCTTCCCTGGCATCCCCCAAAGCCCTCTTCCATTTCCCTGCTTCCTTCTCTCCTTCCCACTCACCATACAGCTTACTTTATCTGCCCCCATCTTCAGCTTTCTGTGTTTCCCTGCCTGTGAGGAAGGCTTTTCTAGGGAAAACTCTGGCCAAGTTGCATGGTGTAAGCCAAATTAAACCCAGTTGCACTGTGAGAAACCTGCAAGAATTTAAAGGGATCACTTTCCCCTGTATCTCCTCCCTGCATTCCTCTTTTCCTCCTTCTGGCTGCCCCCAATTACCATCACCTTTCCCTGCTTCCTTCTCTGCTTCCTACCCATCCTCCAACTTACCTTTATTCTGCCCCTTATCTTCAGCCATATTTATTATTTATTTACTTAATGTATACCTCACCTTTCTCCACAATGGGAGCCCAAAGCAGCTTACAGCATTCTCTTCCCCTTCATTTTATATTGTCAATAACCCTATGAAATAGATTAGGCTGTGTCAGGGTTCGATAGTCAGGTCACACAACACAGTGCTTCATAAGAAGAATTCTGTTTATTGGTATACCAGGACTATGACACGTGTACTGCTTGTGTCAGAAATGCCTGGGAACAGTATGGCACCCTGAATTATACTAGGATCAAACACCCACCCCCCTTAAAAACTGAAGCCAATAAGCAAAGATCACTAGGATCAAACACACACACACCCTTACAAACTGAAGCCAATAAGCAAAGATCGCGTGCGTGGGGGGAAAGAAAGCGGGCAAAAAGCCATTGGTTCCCATCAAAAGCCAACAGCAGCTGCAACATCCCAAGGTCAAGAAAGCAGATAATGCCCAGACAGTGAAACTCTGTGCGTAGTAGGCAGAGTAAGGTGGTTTCCCCCTCCACACATTCCAGCACCATGGCAGTGTTAACTGACTGGCTGAGAGTGTGGGACTGCCCAAGATCACCAAGTGAGCTTCCCTGGTAGAGTGGGGATTTGAACCTGGATATCCCAGATCCTAGTCTGCAACTTTAACCACTGCACTACATTGGCTTTCATGAGGTCGCTGCTGTTAAACAGTACCAAGCAGATGGGCCTGGGTGAGTCATGTGAATCACATGATAGCACCTTGTCCCATGGCTGCTGCCTGGCCCAGCCCAAAGAGTTCTCCATCAAAGGCCATTTCAGCCTTGGAAAGGGGTTCTGCCATTTACTCAAAGAAACCAAGGCCTGAAAGCTGGCAGTACTGTTGTGGTTGCCAAACAATGGCCACTCAGGGTATTCATTTCTTAAAGCTGCAGTTCCTTTTATTATTTTGGACTGCCTTCACCCATATGAACCTACTCGTACATTCCAGTCTCCTCAGAGGCCCTGCTTCAGTTGCCTCTGCCATCTGAGACTAGAGAGGTGGGGCCCCTGAAAAAGGGCTTTCTCAGTTTTGGCACCAAAACTTTGGAACTCCCTCTGCAGGGAGGTTTATCTGTTTCTCTCTATCGGTGTCTTCCACCAGTGGGTGAAGACTTCTTCGTTTTGTTTGGCATACCTCCTAATAACGGTTATTGGCCTCCTCCTTGGTTCTTTAAGTCTGTGTTTTCATTGAATTATTTTAATTGTTCATATGTGTGAATGTGTTCATGTTTGCTGCCCTGGAGACCCTTATTGGGTGGAAAGGCAGCATAAAACATTTTAAATAAATAAAGTTAAGTGGGGCCATCAGAAGGGTTTTTTGTACACGTTGAAGTGTGATGTTAGTGTTCAACAGAAGAACGTTGTCTGGTTTTTTCATAACATTTAATGTTGAGGCTTTGAGAAACTTGTGCCTCCTTTTGCACTTGATTTGCATAACTGGAGGCTATGGTTAGCATCATTTAGGCATGTTGGGGAGACAGTGTATGTTTCAGATATTTTCTGTGGCTGCTAAATTACACTTTGTCACTACAATGGGAACAGAATGCTCTTGTTTCAGACCAAATGCTTGTTATTATTATAATCATGAATGTTTCTTCAGTGAGAAAATACTGGTAGATAATCTGGGTGGTGGGAGAATACCATAGCCTGGTACAAATCCTTGTCCAACCAACTTCCTTGTGTCTTGGCATAAAGCACAAATGAGGCAGGGTGTTACCGGCCGCTCAAGAGAGGTCTCCCTGCCTTGCTTGTGGCTCTTAGAATTGGAATTGCATGTGGTGAGAGCTCTTATTGTTAGAACAAGTTTCCTTTCTATGCTGCTCCTAAATTGGTGAGGAAAAACCTTTTATTCATTTGAAGAGCTGCAACTCTCCTGAAATACAAAACTGTTGCTATTTATCCATAAAAATAGAAGCAATTATTACTTGCAGATTGGCATTCGAACAAATTACTGGTACTAATGAACTCATGAACAGTGTAAAATGAAGTGATATGTTAGTAGATTAGTAATCTGAATATTCTGTGGTCATACAAATTCCCTACATATCTCTGTCCCATCTGTTGCATTTTTATCCCAGCCATCCTTCAAGAAGCTCCAGTTGATGCATATGCTCCCCATTTTATCATCACAATAACCTTGTGAAGTAGGTTAGTTCTCAGTATAGTTGTCCAAACCATTCAGGGGGGAGATTTCCTGGGTCTTTCAGTGAAGTTGGTTAAAGTATAATTAATACTGGAAACTATTAGTGGTGTTTAACTCTGCCATTTTAATAGCAGGTTCATCCCCCAGTTCCAGTAGCAGTTCATCTGTTAACCCAATGGCTTCTCTTGGAGCACTGCAAACACTAGCAGGGGCTACTGCAGGTCTCAATGTTGGCTCTTTAGCAGGTAAGTTTAAGATGAACAGAAGAGAAAATAATGTTATTTTTAGTATGAGCCATGTTTTGGGTTTCTCCAAGATGTCTCCTCAATAATGAAGATCTAAACAAAAACTGGTTGGCAAATCAGTAATTCATTAATGCCTATTCTGTTTTCATGCATAGGAATGGCAGCCTTAAATGGTGGACTGGGCAGTAGTGGCCTTTCAAATGGCACAGGTAGCACAATGGAGGCCCTGTCTCAGGCATACTCTGGGATTCAGCAATATGCTGCTGCTGCATTGCCCACACTCTACAACCAGAGTCTTTTAACACAGCAGAGTATTGGTGCAGCAGGAAGTCAAAAGGAAGGTAGGTGGGAGGTAATGGTGGAAGGGTAAGTGGGAGGTAATGGTGGGATAAGAGGGTATTCTTTATGTGTGGTCAGTAAGCAGAGCACTTTCTTGAACACGGCTTTTCACAGAGGTATGTAAAGCATGTCACATATATTCCCCATAATCCTTACAACAGCCCTTTAAGGCCAGTAATATTATTCTTTAGGGGTGGGGTTAAGGTTACGAGCAATAGCAGCTTACCTAAGGCAACTTAGTGATTTTGTGGTTGAGTAACTACAGCTTCCTGGCTTAGATTAATTTTAATGATTTTTTCTACCAGATGTTGCTTTTATGAAGAATGTAGGCAAACCTAGGTACTGAACATTGAGGGCTAGTGATGAAAACAATATTGATTGGCTTGAGGGGATTTGAAGTGCAGGAACTCAGAAGCTGATTTTGCACCCATCCTTTCAACTTTTAAAATATATATTTGGCTTTGTCTGGATTTCGGTACCATTATTGCCTTTACCGGTACATTAAGTTTTGTTCTGTATCCCATATTCTCCAATCAGCAACAGGCACAATGAACCAATGATGATTTCACTGGAAAATCACTGAAGAGGCAGTCAAGGAAAAGCCACATTTATATTCTTATTGATCAAGGAGCACAGTTTAGTGTTGCATTAGGACAGAAAATTGTCTGGCTTTTCACTAACAGAGTTGAGTTTGAATTGAGTAAATCTTAGTGGTCTGTAGAATCAAGCCCAGAGCTGTAGTGCTGTTTTAAGATGCACAAATGGGCAGTGTTTGAATTGGTGAGGGCCAAGGGAATTATGCTTTTGTTGAACTTTGTTTCTAAATGAATGTGTTAAAGGTCCAGAGGGAGCCAATCTTTTCATCTACCACCTCCCCCAGGAGTTTGGGGACCAAGACCTGCTGCAGATGTTCATGCCTTTTGGGAATGTTGTCTCTGCCAAGGTTTTCATTGACAAGCAGACCAATCTGAGCAAGTGCTTTGGTATGTTGGATCAAATTGTTTTTTTGCAGAAGCTAGTTAGGGGAGGAGGGTTGTTCCAGGGAATAGCTTGAATATGAGACCCTTGAATAGTGAAAGTACAATCATTTAATACCATCAGATGTGCAGAAATATTTTTAGCTCCTTTCTCCTGGAAGTAGTTAGATTAATCTAGAAATGACTTGCCCTTGAGAATGAAAACGTAATAATAGAAATAATATTTATGTATAGGGAGTGAGCTCCCATCTCTAGTTCCAGCTCCTGCCAACCTAGCAGTTTGAAAGCAAGAAATTGCAAGTAGATAAATAGGTATCACTTCAGTGGGAAGGTAACAGCGTTCCGTGCGCCTTGGTATTTAGTCATGCCGGCCACATGACCATGGAAATGTCTTCGGACAGCGCTGGCTCTTCGGCTTGGAAACGGAGATGAGCACCACAACCCTAGAGTCGGATTCGACTGGCTTTCGAGCAAGGGAACCTTTACCTTTTTATAGATGTCTTAGGAGATACAAGTTCATTGTGGTACTTGCGCAGTCCCACATGGGTACTAAACATTTGCAGCCCTGCTGCAGAGAGCATTTTTTAATCTCAAAACACCTAGAGATGCTCCATCTTGCTCCCCCACTCAGTTTCCTGCCTTTTCTAGCATGGTATAGACAGGCGGAGTGCCTTTCCCTCAGTTGTCTGTTTGCCACCACTGAGGGAGTTTCATTTACAGAACCTCCGTACCTTTTTTCACCAGCAATCGTTGCTGATATTATCAGCATCAACCTAGCAAGAGCCTGTAGCCTACAGAATGGCACAAAGAGTGCTCTTAAAAGAACTATGAGTCCTCTGGGTCAAAAATCCCCCACCCAAATGACCACAGACAATGCCTAATATGCCTTGGTGAGGAGCGTGACATATCACACTGCTCCACCTGCTGCCAGTTAATCCCAAAGGCAAGGCATGACAGGGCTTCCTGCCTGAAAGCAGGACTTAGGGATAAAGCATTGCCCAGCACCACTCAAGACGAAGATCTGAAGACTATGCCATCTTCCATTGCCAATAAAAGATTCCGAGCATCCTCGGTTCCAAGACGGAAACCGACCACTCCAGACCCAAATAAGCCCATAGGGAAATCCAGGGGCTGGGTCCCTATGTTGCCAGAGCAAAGCTCCTCAGAACCACCATTGAAGAAGGTTTGGCATAAGCACAAGCTTGTGGAGTAGCCTCCTAAGTCAAAACAGTCATCTAGTCCTTCCTGTCCTCATCGTAAGGATGCAGTCCCTCACAAAATCTCCTAACGGGTCAAAGAGTTACTCCCCATTCTGAGAATGCCTTCTCCATCAGGCAGTCACCCTGTTCCATCTCAGAGAATGGAGCCCAGGGTTCCCATCCCATGTCATCAGCGCCCCCTCATCTCACCCTTCAGAACCACCTCCCCAGTTAGCTTCAGCAGATTTGTATTTTAAGTCATGAATGCTGTGCCAAGACCTCCAGTGAGACTATTATGACCAGGGCTGGGATCCCTCAGAGGAAGCAGACCCATACTGCATAGATGACCCAGATCTCCCATAGGAACCCTGCAAAGAGATGAACACTGGTTATGAAGATTGGGACCCAGCTTATACCTTCAGACTTTCTCCTGAGGATGTTATGCCAGAACCATTCAATTCTCCCCCATCAAAGATTTTTGCATTTACAATGAACAACTCATCTGAATGGCAAGATCATCTGACATCAACTTGTCAAGCACCCCACCCCACCCCCGGCAACTAATCCAGCATTTAGAGTAATGCCTCACATGAATAGAAGTCCAGTCACGACCCCAGTCATAGAAGATCTACTCGAGCTCACTACTGGCAATTGGCTACATTTGGCATTGGTGTCACCTTCCACTAAATGTATTGAAAATCAGAAACCAAGCAGGAAGGATGCCCTTTCCTCTTTCAACACCTCACAGCCAAGTCCCTGGTAGACTACACCCAATTAATTGATTGATTGATTATTGTATGACATTGTGTGTAGAATAGTAGATTAGAGTCCGCTGCTCTTAACCTCTGCATCAAACTGGCTCTCACCCAAGTGAAAAGCAAAGTCGCTCAACACTTAGCCCCTGTTGATAGTGCCATAAACAGGATGGCATAGGCATAAAAATCTATGTCTCCTCTGCTCTTGACTTCAAAATTGCTACTAGCCCTTCCTTTGGGATGGCATTGCCCCCTATTTAGAGATGGTGCCTGAGGATGAACACAAGCTGACAAAGCTCTTAGCCTTGGCAGCATCAAAGCTTTCCTAACACCAAATTTCTGCAGCCGAACACTCAGTAGACTCTTCAGCACACAGCCTCACCACAGCCATAGCATTACATCATCACTCCTGGCTCAGATCCACTGTGTTCCCTCAAGAAACCTGCAGCAGAATTGAAGACCTACCCTTTGAAGGTCCTGTTAAGAGCCAATACTGATGAACTGCTTAATAAGATACGGAAATACAAGCTTGCTTTTAAGACACGGGGGGTAATCCCCTCTACCCTATCTACTCCAAAACCTAGGGCTTTATTTAGCCCATACTACTCAGCCCCCCAAAGAAACTACTACCTAATGCCTCATCCCTCATACTCCAACAAACCTGCTTACATGCCTGCCAGTCAACCCCAGGTCCAGCAGAGGAGACAATTCCCTACGCCAAGGGGAAAAGTTAGATCCCATCACTTAAACCCCAATCTGCCAAACAGGGCCTTTGACAATTACAGCCCACACCCGCCACCTTCACCAACAGAGGAACTGAGTCCTCATCAAATCACCTGGCAGGATATCTCCCAAGACCAATGATGTACTCAGCATCATGTCAGCAGGTACACCATCAAATTCACCTCTCTTCCAATCTGTGCACCCCCATTGTCCCACTCTCCCATCTCTTCTCCAGAACTCATTGCAGAAGTCAGCACCCACCGCAACAAGAAAGCAGTCAGCAAAGTGTTTGCAAAAGACCAGCGCTCAGGGTTTTACTCCAGGTACTTTCTGGTCAAGAAAAAAGGAGGAATGAAATCCTATTCCTGAGAGACCTAAACAAGTTCGTGTCAGTAAAAAAAGTTCAGAATGATATCAATTACCAATGTCCTTCCTCTGTTACACTAGGGTGTGTGGTTTGGACTTACTAGATGCATAATTCCACATCAGGACAAGGCCCGATCACTGCAGGTACCTCCACTTCCAATGTGGTTCCCATCATTTCCACTACATGGTTCTTCCCGTAGGGAACAGGTACCTCCACTTCCAATGTGGTTCCCACCATTCCCACTACATGGTTCTTCCCATAGGGCTAGCTACGGTGCCCTGTGTGCTTACCAATGTGGTAGCAGTAGTAGTAGCTTTCCTGAGGAAACAGGGATGCAAGATATACCTGTCAAGACAACTGGCTAACTATAGTCAATTCCAAGTTAAAACTCCTATAAGACTTGCACCTTACATTGCAAGATAATACACAGCTATATATATCCTTATCCAAAATTCCTAATGATGCAGCATCACTGCCTGTACTGGCCCAGTCCTACCAGGAAGCATGTGCCACAGCAAGGATGGCAGAGAGAGAGAGTAATCAGAGTCCAGTCCAAAGTCAGAGGTTCCAAAGAGCAGGTTTACCAAAGTCCAGACTAAGGTCAAGGAGTTCCAGGTAGCAAGTCCAGTCCAGGATCAGGGTCTCCAGAAAATCCAGTTGTCAGGTCCTGTTCAAGGTTGCAGAGATCTGGTAACAGCAAGGTTGGTGGCTCAGTAGCAAAGTGTACTTGTTGCATCCACAAACTGCTGTTTCTTCTGGCTGCCAAGTCTTAACAAGTGACACCCCCAGCCAATTCCTTGGCAGTCATCCTGAAACTACTCATTCATCTCATCAGTTGATAGCTGACGATGGGCCATGAATCTCGCACTCCTCCTACCTTCCTGCAGCTCAGCTCACCTCTAACAGTGGCACTTCAGTGGTGTGGGTGAGCTAGGTGGGCTGGGAGTGGCTTCTGAAGGCTTGTATACTGCTTCAGAGCTACAAGGCATTGGCTTGGTTTCAGCTGTAGGCTGTGACTTCTGCTCAGCCGGTAACCTGACCTCTTGTTGCTCTGCTCAGGGCCAGCTGCAGGTAGCTCTTTGTCTGCAGAATCTGTGCTGGCACTGAGCACAGACTGACTTACAACACTACCTGGCTTTCATGGTTAAATGGCTAAGAGTGAACAAATAGAAATTAAACTCTGGAAAGACAGAAATAGTGCTGGTTGGGAATGCGGAGGTCTTGAAAGACATTATGCTTTCAGTGGGGTTTTGCTGACCTTTGCCAACTCAAGAGCCTTGGGGTTATACTGGACCCAGCATTATTGCTGGAGAAACAGGTTAATGCAGTTGCAAGAAAGGCTTTCTTCCAACTCACCCTAGCTTTAAAATGGCACTTATCTTAAGGAGGCTGATCTGGTCACATGGATCCATACCATGATGACATCAAAACTAGACTACTGTACACTGGTATCCCCTCAAAATCAGTTCAGAAACTCCAGTTGGTACAAAATTCTGCAGCTGGGCTATTATCACAAGCTCAATGGAACATGCCTATTACCCCCATTCTACACTGTTACCGGGCACAATACCGGGCACAGTTTAAAGTATTGACTATCACATACAAAGCCCTTCATGGCCTTGGACCTTCATACCTGCAAGACTGTCTCTCCCTCATGCTCTGCCATGACAGCTTTGCGCATCCAAGCAGAGCCTTCTTTAGATTCCATCCAACAAATGGACAAAATCAGCAACTGCTTGTACACATGCCTTCTCTGTTGTGGCCCCCACCTTGTGGAACGACCTGCCCAAGGTGTTCAAGAAGGATCCCCCTCTCCTGGCTTCCCGCAAACTATGAATAGGGTAGCACTGGACGAAATACTTCACAAAGTTACTTGGTTAAATTATTAGGGTTTGTGGTCTATATGTGTATAGTTTGCTGTAAGTTTGATCCTATTGTATAAATTTGCATTATTTAATGTGT